AATACAAACATGATAGAAACCAGGTTAAATTTTCATAATAGGCTCACTATAAGAGCTCACTTACTCAGCTCTAGAAAGAACTGTTTGAAATTTCCTACTTTCATGCATCCTGTACCAGTGCTAATCTCAACAAAACATGTGAAATAACACATTCACTAAAAAGTGCATTACAGATTAGATGCACCTGTATTTTTGCTATGGTGCCCTTTTGATGAATACATTTAGGTTCGTTTATCTTTGTTACAAAGGAATTAGAAGTTCATAGTGTTTAACAGCATTAGTGTGGATGGTGGTCCCCCCCCTGTTCTGTATCAGAACAGCTCTTGCTGGCTCTGCAGAGACAAGCGCATTGCTGTGATTTGGTCTGCTGGGTTGCTAGTACAGACATCCTGCTTTAGCTGTTCAAAGCCTTTGCCTTCTCTTCTTCAGCTGCCTGGTAATGGCACATAGGTTTAACAGGAAATGTCTACAGGGCACTACATGAAAATATCATTTATTAGAAAATGTGATTAGCTCCTCTGCAAGGTAAGCATTTTACTGCTATCTATCTAGGTGGTGTATGGGGTTTTTCTACATGAGTAGGAATGTTATTATTAAACCATCACAGACCATTAATGAGAGTTATAGTTATGACATATGTCATAGATGTTTTGCTCTTTTGGATTTCATTGTGTTGGCTGGTAATTTTTTTTTCTGCTTCAGTTGTAGAAACAATTTGTTCATCATCACAATACAGCATCTATAAGCTTTTTATAAAATTAGTCTCTTGTGTCTTATTTTGATGGACATTGTTAAGCAATAATTATTCTTCATACAATTTTAACAGGTTGACCTAGTTTGAAAACAAATTGTGTCCCCAGGCATAAAACAAATAATACCACAAAATCTATTTGAATACAAAAGTTGTATTTTCTTTTGTTTTTTATTAAAAGCTGTGTTTATATTTTTTATTTGCTCTTGAGCTTTGAGTTTTATGAAGGTTTTGCAGATTTGTTTTTGTTTACCATTTAAATGTCTGTAAACAAAAACATAATAATGGTAAATGGTAAACAGCCTGTATTTGATATAGCGCCTTCTAGAGTCCTAGAACCCCCCAAGGCACTTTACAACACAATCAGTCATTCACCCATTCATACACACATTCACACACTGGTGGGGATGAGCTACAATGTAGCCACAGCTGCCCTGGGGCGCACTGACAGAGGCGAGGCTGCCGAGCACTGGCGCCACCAGTCCCTCCGACCACCACCAGCAGGCAACGTGGGTTAAGTGTCTTGCCCAAGGACACAACGACAGCGACAGACTGAGCGGGACTCGAACCAGCAACCTTCCGATTACGGGGCGAGCACTTAACTCCTGTGCCACCGTCGCCCGACAATTATAATAACATTAACATATGTGTTGTACTTCCATTTAAATGAAAAGTAATGAAACGTGTTTCAACCTCGTCAGTCACGTAATTTGAGATTTATCAGCTTGTAAATGTTCGTAATTAGCATGACTACAAACCAGACATTGACACGTCAAATATGATGTCACCACATAATCTCCTCTCCCCTAACATAGCTGCTACTTACCACATGGCCATGTTTATGGGGGTTCTTTCCTTCAAGAAAAGATTTGTGGTTTGTCGAACTTAGAACTAGATATCTAAAAAAAATATCTATCTATCTAAAACTTACAGCCATTTTCCCTTTGTTTTTCTCCATGTCTGGTTGAATGACATCACTTTCATGATACGCATTTATAGTCCTGGACTTATTTTCACACAAAACCTAAAATAACGTCTCCCCCGTTCAAAAGTATTCACTTTCTTGGTATCAAAATACATCTCATGGACATTGTATGTGAAATTCATGGCACAAATCAAGCACAATTATAAAATAGCATTTTAGCCCCATTTACTTGCATTCAGTTTTTTGTTCTTCCGGGGACCCATGGTCCCGAAGTAGATGTGCGTACTTTCCTTTTTCTTTCTCCAACATAATAAAAATGTTGAGATGTGGAAAAGCAAAATCTCATTCAAATACTATACCCTTCATTAAATTATCAACTGCCAACATACCGTGTCGTATGTAGTTTAAAGGCAGCTGCTTTTACACTTTTCTTTGATGGAAGTACTTTGTGAGTCAGAGCTGCTTGTATTGATAATGGATGAGATCTGTACAGCATTTTTTGTATGCACCTAAAGCACTTTCCATTGTTCACACACACACACACACACACACACACACACACACACACACACACACACACACACACACACACACACACACACACACACACACACACACACACTCACACACACACTCACACACACACACACACACACACACACACACACACACACACACACACACACACACACACACACACACACACACACACACACACACACACACACACTGCTGGTGATAGCAAACTACAACATAGCCTCAGCTGTCCTGGAGCAGTCTTTTGGCATGTCATATGCATCAACTGAAAATAAATCAGAAATTATAATGTCTATTTTCTCATTCTGTATACATTGCATTTACTAATTTCATGTTTGTTTGTTTTTTTCGTTCACAGAAGGAATGGCTGTGTTTGAACTGCCAGACTCACAGAGCATTGTCAGGGCACCTTGGAGACTCAGGAAAAATGCCTCAACTTACACAAGTGTCTGCCAAGCCAAAGGCTCAGGCTACACCTGCAACCACTGTAACAGAGCCAAAAACTGCACCTACAAAATCAGGGCCTAAAACTGGAGTTACAAAGCCAGAGCCCACACCTCCCCAAACTAGGGCAGTGGAATCAACTCTGATCACAAAACCAAATGGAGAATCCATCAAGATTGAAGTTAAAGGTTCCTTGCCTTCCACACAAAGTGAACTGGAAGCATATCAAACATCAATCACAACTATCTCACCTTCTTCTGCAGAAAAACAACCTATTACGTCTGCCGTAGAACCTTTAGTACCAGCAGCTGAGTTACCAAATGCTAAAGTCCTTAACATTACACTTGTAAAAAGCAAAGATGAAACCGAAAGAACAGATTACAGTGTGAAAGAATTGCCCAAATCAAAAGAGGCTAAAGCGGACCTTATAGAGGGTGAAGTAGTTGTAGGCACACCTTCCTCTGTTTTAAAGTCAGAGCCAGAAGGTGTCCCTGCGGTTTCTACTGCTACTGAGGTTGTGGGGGCTGATGTTTTTCAACAGAATGGAGCAAAGCCAGAGTCATCTGTTCCAGAGAGTGTAACTACAGAAGTCAAACCTAATGAACAAATCAAACCAACTAAACAAGAACATTCTTTACAGCAAGATAAATCACCTCAAAAATCCAAACAACTGCAACTGGGAGTGGAAGAAGAGCCAACCATGACAGCTAAGAGCAAGGGACTGGATGAGAGAGCTGGAAATATTTCTGACATGATCTCGTCTCAGAAGTTAAAACCAGAATCTACAGAGATGAAAATTACACAAGTAAGAATTGACTGTATTTTATTTATTTATTTATTTATTTATTTATTTATTTATTTATTTATTTATTTACTTATTTATTTATTTTGCAGGATCTTAGTTGTTTGCAGCTAATTATTTGATCCAGGAGCCATTGCTGTGGCCATGTTGGAACGCTGTGTAACATCTTGGTCTAAATCAGACTTTTTAAAAGCTCATTTAGATTTTACATTTGTCATTTGAAATGTGTTTCTATTAGAGATGTTACATTCACAAACGAACAAAAATTTTTTGGAAGGGTTTTCAAAGTGAACGATGAGAGCAGAGTCCTTGTCAATCATTTGGACGAAATTATCACAATACTGGTTAACTAAGCATGCATTTTGTTAACACAAAGACACAAGTGTTTTTTTTATGGGCGTTAAAGTATCTACCTTACAACTACACTCTTAATTTTTAATTAATATTTCAAGCCGAAGTAAGCTCTTTTTTAAAATGTGCTGGCCTTTTACATATGCAACTTTTACTTTGTTTACAATCACTGCCTAACAAATGTTTCTTCTCACATTTTCAGGAGAAAAATGAAAGGGAGGAAGTGGCTGTGGACAAAGAAAAAACGTCTCCAACTAATGAGGAAGTTGAAAAAGAATCTATGGATCCCCATATGACAACTAATGAACAAAAAATCAGGACAGATGAGTCTGATGAAGATCAACCACAGATTTTACCTGTTCTTCAGGAAGTGAGTGAGTGGCAAGCAAGTGATGCAAGCAAAAATGAAATAACTACAGATCAAATGATGCCAGTGAAGGAGGAAGCTAAATCAGAAAGAAGACGCCTAAGTTTACAAGCAGTGGAGGAGAGCAGCGAAAGCGAGCCCACATCGTCCTCATCCCCAAAAGTTCAAAGGAAGATTCTAAAGGTTGGCCCCATTTTGTCGAGCAGTGATGAACTCAAAACAGAAAGTGGTGATTCCTCAGTTGAAGATGATGAGTTTCTCCGAAAGCAGATTTTGGGTATGGGTGATGAAAAAGGAATGTCCATATCTGAAGATGAGAAAGATAACAAGTTGTCAGATGAAGGCACATTCAAAGATGTTACACTTGATAATGCTTCTGTGACCGCCAAATCTCAATCTATAAAAACAGACACAGACAGTAAAGATATTGCCACTCTTCAAAATGTTCCTGAAAAAATGCCCAAGACTATCAAAAAGGCTTTTCCTGTTATGAGGCAAAGACAAAGTACTGATGAAGAAGTAGAGAGCAACACAGAATCCTTGTCAAAGGGTTCATCAAGTGTTCAGACATCCAGCATAACTCCAGGATCCTCACCAACATCAGCCTCGTCTTTGGAGGAGGACAGTGATAGCAGTCCTCATCACAAAAAAGTTAAGGGGGACAAACAGCATCGCAAAAGTAGGCACAGACAGCCAACCCAGCCTCTACCCACCATTGAGAACTCATCTGAGGAAGAAAATTTGTCACAGGACAAACATGAGTATCCTACTGGAAATGCATCCTCCACTGAACACTTGCATCAAATGACTGTAATTGATGAAATCCATAGAACATCTGGCTCAGAGTACTCTGTCAGTATGGAATCAGAACCAGAATTCAAAACAGCTGTACAGAGAGGACGCAAGCCTTCAGCCACTGTTATACCTTACACCCCTTCTGATCAATTTCAAGGAAAAGACATAATGACAAGATCACTGAAAAGTGCAGAAGAAGCATACGAGGACATTCTTCAGAAAGCTAAAGCTATTCCAGGAGAAAGTCCCCCTGATATTGAACCACTTTATGGAGGAATGACAATAGAGGACTATCTTTATGAATCTTTGGTGGAAGAGCCTGAAATTAAGTTAAGTGAATCTCAAGAAGAGCAAGCCCAAAATGACACCAATGACTCTCAAGTTCACCAAAAACTTAGGTCCCCAGAGGAAGTTTATGAGGAAATGATGCAGAAAAAGAGAGAGCTGATGATAATAGAACAGGAGTTTCAGCAGGCCCAGACTGCAGTGGAAACTTCGTCATCTGGATCTTCTGAATATAGGCCTTCTTCAGAGGCTGAAACATGTGTGGTAACTATATCAAAAGAAGAAACATATACCACTGAAGACAGTGATATGCCTCATCCTGAAATGGAGACTTTAAGTGAACTACCATCAAAGAAAAAGAAACGTCCAGCTCCTCCACGTCCTTCTGAACCTCCCAAGTGGTCTGTGGTAACTGTTGTTCCAACTACTTCCAGTGGATCTGTAAGTTTTGTTAGGCCTATGGTTCCTCAAGATCCTGCACTAAGAAAGGCTTTATTCCCTATACCAGACCTTAAGATTACCCAGTGTTCATCTGGCGAGGAAGAGGATGACAGTCTTGCAGAAGAATATGCCATAGGAATTTCCTCTGATATTACCCCTAGTGATGATTCTGAAACTAAGGACGATTTGTCCATAAGTCCACCATTATCTGAAACCTCTGAGATGGAGCCTATAAGTGTTGTTTGTGAAATACCGGAGCCAAAACCAATTCCAACTCCAATATCAGCCCCAGAGCTAACTACTACTCCTTCCCCTGTATCACCAGTTTCACCTCCAACTTCACCAGCCACTCCAGATTCTAGTTTGGCTTCTAATGCAACGTCTTCATCATCCTATCAGCCACAAACACCACTTTCATCAGATTCAACCCCACTGTCTACACCAACTCCTCCCATGCCATTCAGAGACCAGTTGCTTTCATATTCCTCTGTGCAATTGCCTGTCACAGCTGCATCTGATCAATCTAGTGAAACTTCAATCACTTCTCTAGCTTCCACCACTGTTACAGTTACTATACCAGATCTGGTCTCTGATCCATCCAAAATCCAACCACCTGAAGAACTTAAAGGTAAAACTTTCACAACTGGAGGTCCAACTCCACCCCTATTTAAGACATCTACTGATGTACCTATTGTGGTCCCAATGCCAGACTTGGTATCATCTCCATCTCAAGTACCTCTTAAAGCTTCCAGTGTTTTACAAGTCTCAGCACCAAGCCCAGCACCTGTTGTTGTCTCAGCTCAGTCTGCTGCACAAGTCACAGCTACACCAATTGTTGTCACAACTCAAGCTTCTTCCTTCTCCACTACATTGGTATCATGTTCTGAACCAGTCATAATTCAGATGCCTGATCTGGTTTCAACTACTGCCCCAAATGCTGCTCAAACCCCAAAACCAATTTCAGCTTTCATAACTACCCCAGCTCAAGCCCAAGCTAAAGTGGTGCATTCAGTCCCTGTACAATCAGCAGTTCCATTCATGATGCCAGTGGTAGTCCCAGTTCAGACTCAGACAGAACAGGGACCTCCACCAACTCCAGCATCAACAACTGTTATCAAAAAGAAGACCCCCCCTCCCCCTCCCCCACGTTCTACTTCTGTGTCATTACCTGAGATTGCCAAAGTGATACCTGTCGTAAAGACAGTTGATGTTACGCCGACTACATCGGCTAATGGAATTACAATAGCTGCCCAGTCAATGCAATCTGTAGTTGTGGACATACAGCCACGAATGGAAAACATTCAATCAGATAGTGCATCAGTACCTCAAGTAGTTGCTCCAACCAGACAAGGACATGTAGTAATCATTGTACCAAGTGTGGAAAACATTGCTGCTCATGCACATAGTAGTCAAATAAATACACATCCTGTCTCAGAAAGGCCCAGTGTAGATATTGTCCCAGTATCTCCCAAGGTGTCAGCTGTGCAAGAACTTTCAGGACCACCTGTATCACCAAAGTCTTCTGTTGGGGCCAAAGTTATGCCTATTATGTCTGTGGCTGATTCAACACGATCTCTTCCTTCTACCTTATCCAGGTCAGCTGTTCACCCACATTCATCAGTTCCTTCTTTAGTAACAAATGCTACACCAGTAATGGCACCAGTCTCTGTAACAATCTCTGGTTCTTGTCAAGCCACCAAGCCTCCGCCACCCATACCACCTAAACCTGTTTCGATTCCAGCTGGACTTGTTTTCAGTCACAAGCCCGGTGAGCATGTCAAGCCACCTCCTCCTCCTGTAGCACCCAAGGCAGCAACATTACCAAGGATGAAGGATCCTCCAAAGGCTCTGTCACTTAGCCTTACACGAACTGTGGAATCTAAATTGGGAGTAACATCTCCAAAGTCACCTTTGTCTCCTAGACATACCAAATGTTTACAAACATATGTGGTGATAACTCTTCCATCTGAGCCTGGCTCTCCAACTGAGGCAATAACAGTCCAAGCACCTGTGAGACAAGGGTCCATCCCATCTTCAAAGGTAGCAGGGATACGGACAACACAAATAGAGCAGAAAACATCTGCTGAGGTTTTTTCAACACAGGCTACAGTTAGAAGAGCCTCTGTTCCCACTTTAAAGCATCCATCTCCAACTACTATGACCTCACCTGTGGCAGTGGAGCCAGTGGCCCTCTCTGAGGTAGCAAAAGCAACTAAGCAAGCAGGAGAAGAAGCATTGCCCTCTGCTGTGGCTGATATTACAGTTTCACCAGATCAGAACATGTTCATCCAGGCACACACTGTAGTTCCTCCAATCAAGAAATCATATGTGGAACAATTGATTGTTCAGCCACTGCCACCTCCACAAACTCAGTCAGCAGTCATCACAATGCTCCCAGAAGAGAACATTTGCATTCAACCTCTTACAAACCTACCAGCAACTATAGGACAGACAACATCATCTATTCCTCAACAACCAGGGATTGTTGCAGGAGATGAAATGATTCCTCCAAAATGTTTAGTTGCAGAATTGTCTCCTCAGGCATATAAACCAATTACACTTGTGCAACAAGAGTATTTGACAGAAATTGTAACAGTACCATCACAGCCTAAGTTACAGTTAGAAGAAGTAGTTGTCCAAGGTGGACCAAGAAACGTGCTCGCAACTGTTCTTGACCAACAAACTCCGTCACAAAAAGAATTGCTACAGGAAGATTTGAATTTACCAACTCATGTCTTTGTCACAGAAACAGTTCAGAAAATGTCACCAGTTTCAGAAAAGGCAGCTCAAGGGCCTCTAACAATATCTCAAGTAGTAATTCCCTCAGAAGAACCAGAACTGCATCCAGGCTATGCAGATACGCAAGCCTTTTCTCAATCATCATTAGCAGCACAAAGTGTTCAGGGTTTTGAAATGCCCTTAGCAATGGAGCAGCTAACAACACAACAAGCTAATCTTGAGCATGAAGGAGTGACTCTCCCTATGAATCTTGATTATCCCAAAGAAATGTTTACAAAGGAAACTGAGAATAGAATGCCAGAGGTGGCAGTGGTTTCCCCAGTCCCTCATCTTCACACTAAAGTAAATGGAATTACACCTCAGATATTCCCAAGCTCTACAGTTCCAGAAATGGTAACTCATGCAACTTCTGAAGCTCCCTCCACTTTTGTGATAGAAGATACACACCCAGATGTTACTTTTAATCCCTATATTACGGATCAAAGACAAGTTTCAATACCCCCAATCATACAACACCAAGCAATGCCAGAGATTCTAGTCATCTCAAAAGAAGAGGCTCCTTTTAGAACTTCCTTGCCATCCGCAGAACAACCGCCATACACAACAAGTGATATATTGACATATCCAGAGTATGAAACATCTCCACAAGTGGTTACTACTGAGGCCTTTGCTGCTACTAGAAGAGAATCTTTAACTATGCAGCAACAGTTACCCTTTGCACAAATATTGAAAGTAACAGCAGAAAAAGATGTTCCTATGAATGACTATGCAGCTCAAATCCCCTACAGGACTGATTCAATTCCATCAGTGGAACACCAACCACAGATTTTAACTTATTCATCAGAATACGACCATCCTCTGGAGATAATAACTACTGAGGCATACACCAGGAGAACCTCAATTCCCTCTGCACAGGATGTTCCACAAGTTGTATCTGGTGTAACTCCAGTCACTATCACTAAAATTCAGCAAGAAACTATAGAAAGCCAAGAGATAAGAGGACCAGAAAAAGTGGTTTCTAGTATGAGTCACATGTATTCTTCTTCAATTTCCACCTCTGGCCAGCCTTCCGAAAGTCTGCCCAGCTTAGTTACTCAGGTAGTCACCACTGAAGTTCAAAGGACAACTGTTTCTGTAGTCCATGAGAGACTTCCACAAGTCCCTTCACAAAGTATAGCCATCACTATACAACCAGACATAGCAAAAGTCCAACCTCTGCCCAAACAGAATGGTAAGGTAATATATCCAGTGGATGTCATTGATTTGCGTACTCTGAAGTCTGGCATAAAGATGACAGAGCAAGGGATGGACCTTACTCCACCTGAATCATGTCGCCAGTCTTTTTCAAGTGACTCTAGTGGACGTCAAATCACTGCAGTGCAGCCTGAGATAGTAAATCTTAGTGCAGAACTCACTCCTACAACAACATTATCTGTTGTAACAGACAGCATCACAATCGTCACATGCTCAGCAACCATTGCTTCTTATAACAACACCCCAGCAGAAAAACCACTTGATTTGCAGGGCCCTGTTGCTTCATTGCCTTTGCCTCTCACTACAAGCAAATCATTTGAACCACTTGCACAAATTGTATACAGACCTGTACGGGCCCAGTCTGCACTAAATGCTGTAGCACCTTCAGCTCAAGACATACCCATTAATCTCTCATATGAAGCTATTGTCTCTTCTGTAGGAAAACAGCAAATGGCTTCAACACCAACAATTCTCAGCTGTCTAAGTCCTATTGTTTCCCTCGAGGCTACAGGAGCCATGGACTTGTCAAACTACAAGCCAGTAAGAGCTATGGTAACTTTGTCTGCCACAAGCCCAGGAGTTGTGTCTTCTGTTGTAGAGGATGATGGAATTCCAATAGACCTCACCGCTGGTAGAAGGAGCATCTGCTGTGATGTAATTTACAAGCTACCATTTACAGGAAGCTGCAGAACACAGCCTCCAGTTACAACCCAGCCTGACCACCAGTTTGGACACATGGATGAGCATGATCATTATGATATTGCTGGACTGTATAGTATAAAAGGCCCTAATGGGATCAAAGCCTCAGTGTCAGAGACTAGTCTGACAGAAGAAAGACTGTCCCCATATGATCTCAAAACGGACTACCTTGGTGGGCCTTCAGATCATGCTATAGACCTAACCTCTTCTAAACTTTCAGCTGGTGAGTGTGTAAATGTATCTGTATATGATCACTTTGGTGTGCATATATTTGATTTTAAACTTTTATCTAATAATTTTGATTTAGTCTTACTGTGTGGCTGCTTTATCTTTAAATTATACATTTTGTTTAATGTTCATTTTGTTTTAGTATTCATGCGTAATTGTCTTGAATAACGGCTGCCTTTTTGCTTTTTTTTCCTTTACACAGATGCATGCGTGTGCCTGCGTGTACTTCCTCAGTATTTTGGTTTTGCATCTTGCTAGCCAAAATCACTTCAAATGTGCATGTACAACTGAACTCTCATTTTAAAATCCAAGTTGCATGGCTCTCACATTATATCATGCAATTTCTTTATTCTTCAATTAATGTAATTTTTTTAATGTAGACTCTATATTTGGATTTATTGTGGCAGGTGAAGCACTTGACTACACTAGCAAAGCAGCCAGAGTCTACTCTACAACGATTACTGCTCCATACTACCAGATCCCTGCTGCTGGTTTTGGCATAAATAGTGTGCTTAAAACATCGGATGGAATAGTTTATTCCTCAGTTGCTGCTCCAGTTCCATCCACATATGCAATTACCACTCAACCTGGCTCCATCTTTAGTACTACTTTGACACCTACATCAAAAGCTCAGGACCAATCATTGGTGCCACCATATGGCTTCAATCCTACAATGGATCCAGGACAGTTAATTCCTTTTGAAGCTGAAGTATCTAAGGAAATTCTCCCTACAGCTTTAGCCGACATCATAACAGGGTATCCGGAGATGTACTCAGACACTACCCTAGAAGCTATTGCTGCCTCTTTAGATGTCCTAGCTTCTTCCCCAATTTTCCCTGGCTTAGACAACACTAAGATGGCTCAGTATCAAATGGAGAGAGAGTTTCTGGAATTGGAAAAGCTTAAGCAGTTATGTCTTGCTGAGGAGCTGGAGTGGGAAAGGCAGGAAATACAGCGTTACAGAGAACATGAGCAGATAATGGTCCAGAGGGAGCTTGAAGAGCTTCAAGCACTGAAACAGCAGCTTCTCCTCCAGCAAGAAGAAGAGCATCATGCCCACATGGTGGCTCAGCAGGAGACATACGCTCAACAGAAAGAACAGTTACAGCAAATCCAACAACTCCAACTTCAACTCCAGTGGCAGCTAGATGAACACTATGGTAGTACTGGCACGACAGGAAACCTTTTAGAAGCTAAGTATGCAGGCGTAGGAGACAGCGGCCAGTACTGGCCCGTCAAAGATGAGTCTACTCCTCCATCAACACGGGCACGTACAGAAGACAGTCACCAACATCTTATTATAGAAAAACTTCAAGCTGATCAAGACATGGGGAAAAAAGTACTTGATAGCGAACTGCAAACCGACGATGAAGAGAAGCAACAAATGGGAAGAAAAAAGAAAATTAGAAAAAACGTTGAAAGCCCCTCTCAGACCGATGAGGAGGACCAAGAAGAGTGGGATGCTCCAACCAAAGTTCGACGACGCTCTCGAAAGCACAGCGGTGAGGGGAAGCATGGCTCCAAGGTATCTAGCATTGCCATTCAGACAGTAGCAGAAATATCTGTTCAGACTGACCACTCAGGAACTATCAAACGGCCCAGCATTCAAATGGACACAAAGGTAGAAATCATCAAGCATATTTCAGCTCCAGAAAACTCTCATAGAGGTGGCAGTCTGAGCTGTCAGACTGATTCGGACAGAGGACATTCACCCATTGATGTGGGCTACAGCACACAACTGACAGCAGACATCCCATCTAAATCTAAAGTTCTCTACAGCTCAGTTTCTCCCTTATCCCCTGAAAAGTCATATGGAGGACAGAGGATGCTAACTGCTGACCCAGCCAGATTTTCTTCTGGACCTCGAATATTAAAAGCTGGTCAGAAGTCTCTATCCGATCCTAAATCTCTTAGTCCATCTACGGATGACAGGATGGGAGGATATTATGCCCACAGCTATTCTGTAGTAAGTAAAATTCTATGTACTGTCACAATAGTAATCAATGTTTTGATATTTTACAAAAAACAAATGAATAAAACCTAAATACAGTAGTATATTTAAAATATAGCCATTTCTAACATCCTAAACTAATTTAATTCCTGAAAGATATGTGATTTGTTTGTTTGTTGTAGGGTCGAGGATCTCCTTCCAGTACTGGGAAGAAAATAAAACGAACATTGCCAGACCCCCCTCCCGAGGATGACTCCCTGACAGGAAGGTCAAGCTATGGCACCAACTCTACCCGTCGACATCTTGCCCGCAGCACAACAATGGCCAGAGCTAAGATTCTGCAAGATATTGATAAAGAACTGGATCTGGTAGAGAGGGAATCCTCTAAACTACGCAAGAAACAAGCTGAGCTAGATGAAGAAGAAAAGGAAATTGACGCCAAGCTTCGGTGAGATGCTACACAACAACACTAATACAATTGTCTGAGTGATGTACACTTTATTTTAAACTTTGTGACATTGATCCATTTGTGAATGTTCATTGCAATTGTTGCAAAATAATGAAAAAAGATACCATTTCATTCATACATCTAACGCCATCAGTCTTATGTTTATGTGCATGATTCCCCTCTTACCTTACTAGCTTATGGGCTAAAAGACTGCCTTGACTTCACTCAGTGAGACCTCTCAACTCTTAAACATAGTAACAGGTACAAATGTGTGAGAAACTAGAACATTACATGTTAGTGTGACTAGAAAACGGTTAGTGCTTCAATTTTAAAACATTTTCTACTACTCTAGGTATCTGGAGATGGGTATAAATCGCCGCAAGGATGCCTTGTTGAAAGAGAGAGAGAAAAGAGAGAGAGCCTATCTCCAAGGGGTGGCAGAGGAACGAGACTATATGTCAGACAGTGAGGTTGGCAACATCCGAGATGGTAGAGGTGATAGCCTTGAGAGACCACGGACTGCTCCTCAGTCAGAGTTTGATCAATTCATTCCTCCACAGACCGAGGCTGATTCACAGTACAACACACTAACTAGTCCATATTCTCCCTATGGACAATATGTTCCACAGACCCAGACCACTACTCACTACACTCAGCAAAATTTGTACCAGCAACAGTCTTTATACCATCAACAAATGTCTCCTTACTCAACACTTTCCCTTTCCCATGCCCAGGGTCAGCCTAGCAGCTACCAACATGCTCTGCTCTTGCAGCAAGGAAAGCAACACCAAACCACCTTGTCAGATTTAGAGCCTAAAATTACCACCAGCTATGAAGTAATACGTAACCAACCTCTGCTCATAGTGCCAACCTCTACAGAAAGTGGCTATGGAGTGGGTCATTTAGGGAGTAAGTATGGCAACTTAGACTTGAGGGTAGGATTAGAGGAGAGAAGCATGGCCTCTAGTCCCATGTCCAGCATTTCTGCTGATTCCTTCTATGCTGATATTGACCACCACAACGCCAGGAACTATGTCCTTATCGAGGACATAGGGGAGCTCACCAAAGGCTCATCTGGACTTGGAAATAGTGGTTTGGGGTCCGGATTCAGCATCCCTGATAAGGAGCTATCAAAAGCAGACCGACTACTCAGGGCAGCCGAAGCCAGGCGCACAGCAGAGGTAAATATTAAAATCTTGTGATAATTTCAATTTGACATAATGGCCAGTTTTTGTGTTTGTACAGTCAAAAGTATTTAACCTTCACAAAGTAACATTTAAAAAGGTAATAACCCATATCCACACTGGAGGTATCAGCGGCATGGAACAGCAGTGGAATCCAATATAGCCTATAGGGTTGATCCAAACTTGACGCAGCATGGAGCATTCCAGGAGCATCCTAGATGCAATTTGCCACACCGCTCCGCTAAATATAGGATTGGGTTCTATTTTTGCTGTGGGCCACTTCTGGGATGTTAATTATTACAGTTAACATGGGGCTAAACAGGAAGTCACACATGGTTTCAGTGTAAAACTCATGATTTCCAAAATAAAAGGCTATTGCTGAAATGCGTTTCCTTATCTGTGTAGATTACAACTATACATGTTACCTAACGGCTTGTTTACTTTTTAATGGATTTAATCCTGGCAGTGTAAAGGAACATTATGTATGGCATCAAAAAGGGATATCAAACTTGATCTCCTTCTGCTTCTTTTTGGTTTAATTGCGGATAGCATTAACAAACCGTAACAATTGAAGTTTCGAAGGATTTTGTGATCTCACAAGTCTGGCTAGAAGGACAGAGGAGAAGCCGCTTTGTGGCTGGGATGCTCTCCCGGTGTGGATTGATGCACTGTGAAGCAAGCAAGTAAACCGTCTCGCACTGCTGATGCCTCTAGTGTAGCTTTAGTCAGATCCCAAAATTATTTGGCTTCAGTAACTTAGCATGCACTTGCTCTTAAATATATTTCTAAAGGCAAATCTCATCAGGAAAGTGAACAATTATCAATGTGTGTCGAAATCTGTAAAACATGTTGACACACATTACATATTTGCATATAGTGCACATAGCAATTATATAGATCTGTTATTGAGAGTTGTCAAACAAAACAGTTATAAAAAAAAACCTAATAGGCCCTTCTTCTGTATTTTAGGTTGCAGAGTTTCTAGGGTCATCCCGCTATGGAAAAGGGGAAGATGACACAATGGAAGAGCCATATGAGCTGAAGCTACTTAAACAGCAAATAAAGCAAGAGTTCAGGCGAGGAACTGAGGGACTGGAACACTTAACCGGCCTGGGCCTCTCCCAATATCTCTCAAGTGATAGCAGTTTTCGTCACTTCCCTAAGGGAGAGAAATATAGCATTGGTAGGCTTACTCTTGAAAAACAGGCTGCAAAGCAGCTCCCAGCAGCTATGCTTTACCAAAAACAAATGAAGAACAAAAAGGCCCTTATAGATGCTAAAGCCATCACAAAATTCTCCCCGATTCAAGAAGGTAGGGACCTTGAGCCTGAATTTGGTAGCTATTTGGGATCTGGAACTTCCTCTGTGTCCAGTCTGGCAGCAAGAGCTAGGTTACTTCAGGATGAAATTACGTTTGGGCTGAGAAAGAACCTGTCTGAGCAGCAAAAGTATTTGGGCTCCTCCCTAGGAGCCAACCTTTCTGGTTCTCTTAATCTTGGACAGTCTCTAAGTCTTGGATCAGCAGTCAGGGGCACTGTTCAGGATGATGGCACCTACCCAAGTGGCACTCGATCTCGTCCCTCCTCTCGCCCTTCTTCCCGCCCATCTTCTGTTTATGGCTTAGATCTGTCCATCAAAAGAGATCTGTCCAGCTCCTCACTCAGACTTAAGACCGAGGGAGAAGTCCTGGAAGCAGCATTTGCCCCTGGTGTCTCCAGAGCAAAGCCCACCAGTTTACCTATCAGCCAAAGCCGGGGCCGCATCCCCATTGTTGCTCAGAATTCTGAGGAAGAAAGCCCTCTGAGTCCAGTGGGACAGCCTATGGGTATGGCTAGAGCTTCAGCTGGTCCACTTCCCCCCATTTCTGCTGACTCCAGGGACCAATTTGGGTCCAGCCATTCCCTGCCAGAAGTACAACAACATATGAGAGAAGAATCTCGGACACGAGGCTATGATAGAGACATTGCATTCATCATGGATGATCTACAAGGCGCCATGTCTGACAGCGAAGGTAAATGGAGCCTGAGACTGTTGCAGCAATTCAGCTGTACGGACCTGCATGTTATGCATGCTAACACAGAGTGGTCTTATTGACTTGGTGCATTAGCTAGTTGTTTCAATTACAAGTGATACAGATATTTATTGTTGATACATTTTTTGGTGTTGTGGTAAATGTGATGCTAGATATATGCATGCTTTTGCTTTCTTTCATATAACTAACTCACCAATACATAATTCTCTTGGCCTGAGTTTATGTATGACACAAATCTGTTTTATTCCCTTTTGGTCTGTGATGTCATTTGCATGATTTTGTTATTTTATGCTTTCATCCTTTATTATTCACCAAGAAGCTTTTTTTCCACATTCTCAAAACTTATATTTTCTGAGCACTTAGAATATGTTATACATGATAGAACTTCCTAATTTTATTATGCAAGTAAAATAATCATCAAGTATCAGCGAAATACACATATTTTGCATTTTGGCACTATTTTATTATTATTATGGTAAATGCAGATACTTCACTCCCATGAACTGTAAAAGTTTATATTAAGAGGAAATGCTGCAGCATGGTTCAGTATGTTTGTATAACAAATTGTGAATACACTAGATTACATACAAGTTAATCTCAATTTTAAGGATGAATTATAGCATGAATCACATGTTATATCAGTTAGATACGTATACACACACACACACACACACACACACACACACACATATATATATATATATATATATATATATATACATACATATTTATGTGTGTGTGTGTATATGTATACGTATCTACACATAACTTACATAACAACTAAACATATATATATATATATATATATATATATATATATATATATATATATATATATATATATATATAAAGTTATATAATTATATAAAGTTAATTCTCAAAATTTTTGAAGTACCCAGACATGTTAGTTGGCCTGTAAAGGTAAAGGGCCATTAGGTACTGCAGTACCTCTTTTTTCATGGAAGCAGTTGTGTGTACTATAGAAGTCTGTGTCTTGTTTGTGTTGTACTAACTGTCAGTCTTTGTAAAATCTTTGATTTCTTATTTGTATCTGATTTTGCATCCTTGCATGTTTTAGTATTAAGTGTTTTCCATTTCCATGTTAATAAAGTGGATATTTTCCATGTATTGGTGATTTTTGTGAGGTCTCACTTTAGTGTGAGATGCCCTTGTTCCTGAGTGTTTGGCAGCAAATGGAACCTTTTCTTTATAAGCGTGGGTTAATAATAATTTTACTCATTAGACTTGACAGAAAAAAAAAACCAGAAAATACAAATTTGTAAGTTCAGGAGCTTTCTGCAAAACCTTTTTATTTATTTATTTACTTAGATCAGATATGTTAATGACAAATTTATACATTTTGTAGAATTTTTTTTTGTCTTTTTTGCCCAAGATACCAAAAAAAAATCCATATCAACAAAATTATTGAGAGAGTAACATTTGTCCTGACACCTCGTTAAAGTTTCATCTGCCTTCATTACAGTGCTAAGTGAGTCCATGCTGGCTTTGAACAGAGATGGTGCCAGAATCTTTCATGAAAGTATCAGACACGGTAGAGTATCTAACAGTAGCTACTGTATCAGCCCAGTTATACCTTATTTGGCTTAATTTCTCTAAAACACAGCTTATGTTTTTTTTTTTTATATTGTTTCTGCTTAAAAATGAGTTAGGCTGCTAAAAGCATAGTAGGGATAATATTAAGCATGCATCTTACCAACTTTTGCTTTATCTGCATGTGCTGAAGTATTTTCACAATACAAATATAGCTGTAGCTCACATTTGTGAGACTTTTTTTTAACATATTTCTGAAAACCACATGTAACTTTGCACCCCAGCCGGAGGCACAAACTGGAGTATAGAAGGTGAGACGCCATTCCATGTAGTTATAGAGACTCTACAACTCCATGCTAGACATCATGATTCTGAATGATCTGCATCTCTGGCTGAATTTGTAACCCATTCTTGGTTGCGCCGCATCTCGCCAGTAAAGGATAAAAATCATTTAGCCGTAGTATCTGCAGTAGCTTACATGTTAGTTTCATTCTGGAATGAACCATAGTGGATTCAGTTTTACGTCTGTTTGCTCTGTGATTTTTTTTTTGTAATCATACCAGAACCATTTCTAGTATTACCCATGCTCATTGCCTAAGAAAAAAAAATCTTCTAAAATAATCATGCGTATATTTGTGCTCAAGTGTCCACAAGAAATATGATGATGTCATTCACTGCTTTTTATTCTGAGACATGCAGCAGTCCATATCCAGTCATTGTTATTTTGTGGAATAGGATCTCTGATCATATAATGACATTTGTGAACCCGTTTCGATTCAAATTTGAAATTTATGTTTCTAAGCAAAAAATAATGCTTTTTGTACAGAAAAATTATCATAATAAAATGACATCTGCCAGTTCTTTGCTTAAAAGTCCTTATTAAGAGTCTTCAGATGCTTCAGAGCATGTTGCATAAACAATTTGTCAACAAAGTTCAGACACACATCAATTATATCGATTCATATCCCACGCTAGAAAGCTACAGTTAATCCTCTGGTATTTGATCTTGTTTCATTATTTATTTGGATTATTTATTTTTATTTTGGTTTGTCTTTTATTCAGGTAATTATGATAAAGCAAAATCAGCTCCAATCCACAGCAACTGAAATATGTATCTTATTTTATTGGAAAAGAAAAAAATAAAATAAACATTAACATTGGGAATAGACATGACCAGGTTGATGCTGCATCATTCATGTAGTGTTTGCAGTTATACTTTCCTCTCACCAATACAGAAAGTCCAGATCAGAGATCTTCCTGCATTTTAGCAAATGGGGGTGGATGTGCAAATGAAAATAAAATGCAGCACATGATGAAAAAAAGATAAACTGTTTTCCCCCACTTGATTGCTAGATTTATCGCTTCCAAGCATTCACCATGTGTAAAGCGGAGATAAATCCAGCTATCAGGCGCTCAATCACTAGCTGTGCTATTGTGAGTGCACGACTTGTAACAGCTTGCTCTCTTCGTCTAGCCTACCACCTGCGCAGAGAAGACACCGACTGGTTTGATAAACCAAGAGAAGGACAGCCTCAAAGTGCACACATGTTGGACCGGAGACAGGTGAGATCCAGTTCCATATTCTGCTTTCTTTCTGAACTTTTAGTAACCATAAATGTTTTATGAACTCAATATAATCTCCCCTAGATGAAACTGGTTCCTTACACCTTCCCACACACTCGCGCCAAACTCAAGAGAGACATAAGAGACACAAGTGTCTCAGGTACACTGCAAGAACAATGATATTGTGCAACAACAAAACATACTTTTTAATTCTTACATGTTTTTAAAAGGGTTTTTTATTTTTGTTTCAGGAAATGGACTTGGCATCCGTGTGGTAGGTGGGAAGGAAATTCCAGGGGGCCGTGGTGAGATTGGAGCCTACGTTGCCAAGGTCATGCCTGGTGGGGTGGCTGAACAAACAGGAAAGGTTGTTGAGGGTAAGAGGAAAAATGTAAGACCTGAGCAGCTCAGCACCAACGTAAGATTAATTATAAAGCTGGTCAGTCCACAGCAGGATAATGTGTCAGTGTCAGGTTCCTGTCTGGTCTTTGCACGGTATTACTCAGCTTCTTAAAACACACGTCAACATTTTTCATTGTTTAGAGGTTACCATTAAAATGTTTTTGAGATATTTTCTTCTAAAGAATAACGAATCATGCTGACTTATGTCTGCATAAACTTTTTCATTTAAAAGAGAGTATAGGAAAAATAACTCAGAGGCCACAGAATGTACATTGTCAGTTAAAAAGGCACAACAAGGAGATTTTATGACAGCAGAGCTTGCCAGTATTGCAGCATTACTTCCCTCCAGCATGATTTTTCAGAAACCTTTTGTGTGGACAAAATAACAAAAAACAATGAAAAAGGATTTGAAGAAAGTGTTATTGTGCATAGAAAATAATATTTTTATATGAATTTCAAAAGTTACATTGTGTCCTTTTAGGTGGAAACTATCAGTTGCATTTCCATATTTTAAGAGCTAACAATCGGTTATGATAGACTCTAGAAATAATGGATGCTGGCATTTACTGTCAAAAGCTAATTTGTGCAGAAGGGATGTACAGTGCAATATAATGCTGCTTTTACCTAAATCTTTTTTTTTTTGTTTTTAACTGAAATTTGTAACTGTCATTAATTTGTTTTCTGCTATTTTATAATTTTATTTTTGTTTTGATCATTATGATTTTATGATGGTATTTGTTTTGATCTATGTGAAGCACTTTGTGATTTTCTGTCTGTGATAAAAATGTACTACTTAATATAATTATATTAGAAAAAAACATAAACGATTAGAAGCACAGTCCAGAAAATAAGGTCAGAAAAAAGCAAAAATGTTAATGGAAACTAAACTGCAAGAAGTATGGAGAAAATACTTTAAGAGGGAAGATGATTAAAGTGCAAGGGGGGCAAATGCCAAACCAAAGGTGGCAAACAGAATTGACAAAGTAAAACCTAAAATAATTTTGAAAAGCATTTCAGCACAAAAACCATGACACAGTAAATCCCATGAAAGATACAACGGGCTTTAAAAAACTATTACTAGAGAGAAACCCCCCATCCATCCACCCATGCAGTTTCTGTTCAGGGGATTTGTGGGGGCTAAAGCCTCTCCTAATCTGAACAAGGCTGCAGTCTCTCACAAGGCCAACACAGACATTTGATACAAACAATCAGAAAGAGTAATACTCACCTCTAAGGTCAACCAGGAACCCCAATTAACCTAACATGCATGTTATTGCACTGTGGAAGGAAATCTGAGAACCAAGAGAAAACCAACACAGAGAGAACATGCAAACTCCATGCAGAAAGGCTCCGGCTGAAACTTGAACTGATTGTCTTAATGTGAGGAATCAGTGCTAACCATTACAATCACCGTCCAACCCGAGCAATGCTACATAAGAGAACATAGTCAAATGAAAGTATTTTTTCTTTTCTTCATGGCAGTGTACATTGCTGCATTAGGAGACCCAAGTATGTATTTTGCATGAATGAAATTTATACATTTTTAAATGACAGATGTTTTCGATTATACTTGAGTATGAATCAAAAATATTTAATCAAAATCCATCCATCCATTTTCGGCCACTTATTCAGGGTTGGGTCGTTGAGGCAGTAGCCTAAGCAGGGAGGCCCAGACTTCTCTCTCCTTAGCCACTTGGACCAGCTCCTCCGGGGGAATCCCAAGGTGTTTCCTGACCAGCCGTGAGACATAGTCTCTCCAGCATGTCCTGGGTCTTCCTTTAGGCCTTCTCCCGGTTGGACGTGCCTGGAAAACCTCCAGCATCCAGCATGCATCCTTACCAGATGCCCGAGCCATCTGTGGACGAGCAGCGGGTCTAGACCAAGCCGCTCCCGGATGACCAAGCTTCTCACGCTATCTCTAAAGGGAGAACCCAACCACCCTGCAGAGAAAATTCATTTTGGCCTCTTGTACTTGCAATCGCATTATTTCGGTCACTAGCCAAAGCTTGTGACCATAGGTGAGGGTAGGAACGTAGATTGACAAATAAATTGAGAGCTTTGCCTTCTGGATCAGCTCTCTCTTCACCCAACACATTCTCACACTTGAAGCGGCTAAAACTGACGAAGGGTGACCAAGCGTTAGTTTCCAACGCGCTGGGAGAACCCTTCCTCAGTTTTAGCTGCGTCAGGTGTGAGAATGTGTTGCTTTACCACGACAGATCGGTACATCAATTTATAAAATTCAATAAGAGAACAAAGCTAAATTAATGAAACATGAGAGTTATAATCAGGGCTAGTTTTCAGCTGGATTTGTTTAAATCTTTCTTCATGTTTAGATCTGCATATTTTTATTTTTAGCAATCTCTTCATTAAATTTAGAAATATTGTAGGCTGCTCTGTCATGCTTTCTGTCCCATCACATATAACTTTAGAAAACTCTTCATATTAGTGGAAGGTGTTAGTTATTAGATCATATTTACCATCATTGTTAAGGACACACACATACTCACAGGAAATCATAAGCAAGCACATGCAGTAAATAACTATCTGTATGACATTTATTATTTTAATTACTAGTATTTACATTTTTGCTGGAACTGTAAGAGATATAACAGCAAGTCTCCATAAAACTCTATAAACTATACAGAAAAGCTTGGATGAGCAGTATTTTATGGAGAGGTATGACTAATCTGATTACAGAGCAGCTTTTGGATGAGAGGGAAGAAGATGCATTCTAACATTCACATGAAAATGTCTTTGAGCCCTACCACCAATCTTAACGTTTGCTGAATGACCAAGCTTCTATGAAGACATTACTTAAACAACATAGTAAAAAAATAAATTAATTAATAAATAAAAAAACAACAGTTGCATTTTACTTCCAGATAAATGTCATCTGAAGGATGGAAGTCACATCCACAACGTAAAGTTTTCCATGAATCCATCATGCCCCAGGAGTTCATGTGGAATAATGATAAAACTTCACATGTTCAGGAAAGCTAAAAATGAAACTCGTTAATTTTTTAAAAATCTTTTCAGGTCTTTCCTTTTGTTGCTTTTGCTGTGTGACTGGACAAATTAATCTTTCCACATGTAATTATGTTTCTCAGTGAGCGACGTGGGAAAATAAATGAGACTACAGGCTGAAACACAATGACTGTTAACATTGCTTTCTCCCTCTTTGCCTGGCTTTATCATATCACAGGAATGCAGGTGCTGGAGTGGAACGGAGTCCCGCTAACGGGAAAGACTTACGAAGAAGTGCAGTGCATCATGGGCCAGCAGTGTGCAGAGGCGGAGCTGTGTGTGAGGCTGTGAGTAACATCTGTCATCATTTACTTTGGTCTCAGTGACACTTTTATATATTTTGTCGCAATCAAACATCTGCTCACCTTGTCATCCCTCCCTTCTTTTCCTCCATCAATTCCACACCCTTCCATCTGCTAAAAATGACTCAGAATGATGACTGCAAATGTGAACTAGTTAGGATTTTAATATACGTACTCTGTGGATCTAAACAGTGATCTTAATATGATGTCTGACCCTGAGCACCCACAAATTCTGGAGCACCACGTCCAGCTTAAGGCTGGTATGTACTAATTTATCTTTATGTATGCTTCTGTGCTCCTGTTTATGTGACTACAAGTGCATTGATGTGAATGTTTGTTTCGCTAGGTGGACAGCGCTCCCCTGGTGTGGATCCGAAGCAGTTGGCTGCAGAACTACAAAAGGTGTCTGAGCAGCAAGCCCCTGACTTGATGGGGGCCGCACCAGGAGGTCTGGGGGTTCTCTCTGCTTTAGAACGTTCTGCCCTTCTACACTCTGGTGCTGGTTCTGCAGCTTCCAGTGGGGTCCCGAGCCCTGGTCAGCCCACCTCCCCAGCCATCAACAAGAAGCAGCGACATAAGGTGAGACGTTTTGAGTTGAGATTCCAGCTGGCACATCTCATCAAAGTTGGCTCATAGCAGCAGACGAGTGCAAGTAAAACGGAAATGAAAAACATAAAACGCACTGTTTTTTTATTCAAACATGAAAGGAAAAATAGCAGATAATAAGTATCAAATTGGAGCCTGTGGACTTGACATCTTGGCCCCTGTGATTTGATTTGCATGGAATGAAACAACACTAGAGACGGGTGCACGAGCTGACAGACTATCAGTACAAGAAAGCGTTCAGATACAGTGCATTACACTGGTAGGGCATGCCATCATTATTCACTGCCAAAGGTGGGTGGGTGGGTGATGATGTTTTTGCCCCTCTCACTTCATGTGTGTTATTTTATTTATTTATTTATTTTTGTATGCAACATACATTATAAACCAGATCCCAGAACTTAAAATGAATGTTTCTGGTGATATTGACATTAATGTAACTGAAGGTGGCCTCTACAGAAAATTGATGTCAGCAAGCACAAAAATGTCCCAAACACAGTTTATTTTACAGATATTGTGTACATAGTCAGTGTTGCAAATATTTCAGAACAGATATTCTAACAGATCTCTCAAAGTTATGCCTGAGATTAAACCTGACAACATCAGAAGATTTTGTGTTGATCATCAAAAGCATCATGTGATTCGCCTTTCTTCGAGGAATGACAAGTATTTCATTTATAAGTAAAGGATGAATGATGCCATATAAATTCTCAATAAACCATTTAAAATATGAAATGATGCAAGTGTGATTGTGCTGAATGAAGTCCAGTTGACAACTTTGAAAATCTCACTCAAGGATTGTGTCCCTCGATGCTTTTTGGCTGAAGAACATTTTCAAAAGTTTCTTACAGCAAAAAAAAAAAAAAAAAAAAAATCAACCATTTTGACACTTTTCGGTAAAAACAGTTTTCTGTAAAATTTACGACAAGCTAATCCAATAATGTGGATACATTTGAAGTTTTGAAAGTATGGGTTTACAATTAGTCAATGACTAACAAACTCATTTCTCACTCGCTACTTTGTTAGCCAATGGAAATGACCAGGACACCTCATCTCATCACTGGAGAAATTCAGGTAAAAAAGCACCTGAAATCAAACAATATTTCACCTTTTATGTTGAATTAAGCAGCTGCAAGATTGAAACATATAATCTACAAGCAATGTGTTCTTTTCTCAGTGCCTCTTTGTTACATTTTTTTGTACAGCTCCAGATAAACTACGATAGAAACTTGGGGAACCTGATCGTTCACGTCCTGCAGGCTAAAGACCTGGCTCCCCGGGAAAACGACGGTTACTCTGACCCGTTTGTGAAGGTCTACCTTTTACCAGGGAGAGGGTGAGCTGCCCGTGCCTATTGGTTCTCACTTATGTCCTGTCTTTGTTTACCTTTCTGCTTCTGTGCCTGTCCTGTTTAGTCTCCCCCAAGTTTTATTTATAACCGCATTTAACTGTTTAACACTCACTAACCCCTTGAGTTTGTCTGAGAGAATAACAGAGCACGCGGCAATATGAGGTCACTTTTAGCCGGTCATTCAGATTTTCTTGGGTTTTATACATAAAACATCAAGAGAAAATGCATCTGCAGGAATGTAAATGTAGCTGCACATGTGCAAAATCTCTGTTCCGTTTAGACACAGCTGAGCAGTGTGGTATCGCCCCATTCTTTCAGCTCTTCTCCCCTCATCCCTGCCTGCACCGATCTCTTCCCAAGAGCCTGTGAATAGGAAAAGAGCAGATCGATAGAGCCTTTATCTGCTCTGTAACAATATCTGTTCTTAGATAATGACTCCATCAGGTCCGTTTATGAGGCTGCTCTGCCTCTCGACCTGCATGCAGTGTAGGTTCCAAATGAGAGCTCACTGAGAGCACTTTTGCTCTTCCTGCTACTTTTATAAAAGTGATTTTTATGCTTTTGTCTGATGTTAGCAGAACGATGCAAATAAAGACAGCCTTTGCTGATTTATCACTGGCATGCATCAATCACAAAACAAGCGACAGCAGCATCCCTCTCAGAGAAAATTGATGACCTCACCTCTTTGTCCTTAACTGCCTTTTCTTTGAGCTCACTACTCTGACTGTTATTTTTTTCTATTCTTTTGCCTTTTCTTGTTTGTGTAATCTGCCCTCCTCCTCCTCTTCTGGACTCCCTCAGCCAAGTCATGGTTGTCCAGAATGCAAGGTAGTGTGGTGCTGATTTTTGTTTTCAGTTAGTCTTTTTTAACCATGTCTCTGAGTGGTTTTTCCATCCTTTTGTTGTGGCCTTTGTCGTTTGTCCTGTTGCTTTTTCACGATTTGTCAATGCATTCTCTCTTCACTTCATGCTTCCAGCATTTAACACCCTTCACTTTCTATTTTTGAATATTTTTCATAATGTACCGGCATCTTAGACAAAACGATGTCACCTTTTATTTCCATTTTCACATTTTGATATAGAACTTTTTTTTTTTATCTCTGCCAATTCTGTCGATTTTCACAGCAAATCTTGTTGAACATTTGAATTAAGCAGGGAAATGAAATAACTAGTTGCTTTATAATGTGTTTCTAATGACTTTTATGCTCAATGTTATAAATGATCAGTGCTGACAACAAGAGAAGGACCAAGTATGCTCAGAGGACTTTAAACCCAGAATGGAACCAGACTGTCATCTACAAAAACATTCATTTGGAACAGGTAATGTGCAAATGTATGCATGCATGTTCTTCCAAAACGTTCTCAGTCTCCATGTAGTTCTGCTCAAGGACGGTTTTAAAGATGTGTCCTTTTAAAAACACAAGTTGGAAAAAAACAATCCTTGTCTCACATTAATTAAACAAACTACTTTCCAAAAATAAGTAAATATGTAGTTATGTTTAAACTATTATGAACTTAGCAAGAATTTCTCTACATGCCAATGGTTTTTTTTCATAAAGGTGGAAAAAAATGCATTAGAAGTAGAAATAATAAACATGCATTTTTCAGAAATATTCCAAAATATTCCAGTCACCCATCCCATGTGTACAAACACAGTTTAAGTCATGAAGACACAGATGCAAACACATTTGTTATGATTACATATTTACCCATATTGTTGACATGTGTTCTCTCCTCTTTCCTTTATCCAGTTAAAGAAAAAGACGCTGGAGGTAACTGTGTGGGACTATGACAGATCCTCCTCCAATGACTTTCTAGGAGAAGTAAGTGCCTCTAGTATAAGAATTAAACCTAAAACTCTGAAATGCATTATGTTTTATTCCTCATGAAAGAGTAATTTGGGTTCACTGCACACATCATCAGTCTAACATACTATGTGTTGCACCCTGGAACTTGCAGCCACACAGCCTGTGGAACATGCGGGCATCCACAGCTTGTTGCTTTGAGTCGTCTTTCCACCTTGAGATACCAAAGCACAATTACTCCTCAAATATCTCAGTTGTATCCTCTTATACGTATGTCTGATCCAAGAGATTTAACATAGTATCTGTTATACATTTGCTGGATTTTTATCTGCAGCCTAGAAATGTAGACCAACCGTAGCAGTAGAAAACGGATTTTGTACTGCAGGTTTGTCTAGCCACGGCAGCCTCAGCAGAGCAGATAGAGGGATTTAGGTAATTTGTTTCAGAAAAGGATGTATTTCCCTTTTCTTTAATGTCATATGAAGGACAGCCCCTTTGACTGATAAATATGTCACATTGTTTGTTGCTCTGATTGGTCCTAATGCTGTCAAAATGTGTGCGGAGACAGTTTGTAAAACAACTTTAGATTTCAACCCAAGACTGGGTGGATTTAATGGGTCATGGCTAGACTATATTACATATATAGGTTAGCCTGCCAGGCTATGTGCAACCAGCTGAAACTCTGAATATTATAGACATTATTTTGTGAACCATTTTTGGTGTTTTTTGTGACATTAATTTCTTTTAATTTAATGTAATCCGTTTAATTTGTGGGATGGAACAATTGCATTTAGTTAGAGGTTGGTTGGGTTTGCCCTTGGCTAAATGATAATCAGTGAAGTGTTGAGGGTCATTTTGTGAACTTAAACTCGTTCTCATCACAGCGATTTTGGCTTACGACTCTAGGAACATTTGACCATCATCTTTATCCCAAAGCAAATTTTGAAATAAGGAAATTAAAATACCAAAATTATAGAAAACCAGTTTGTTTTTTTACTTCTTGCAGTGTGCACTCACACTTTAGAGAATCAAAAAAAAATCACAAAAGAGAAGAGACAAAGACAAACACTACTTTTTTTTTACTGTTTTAGTGTCTGATGTCATTTCTCTCTTCATTATCTCTTCTGCGTGGTAAATTTGTGCCGTTTCAGGTTCTTATTGACTTGTCAAACACAGCACAGTTGGACAACATTCCTCGCTGGCTGCCCTTGAAGGAGCAAAGTGAAACCATTGAACACAGCAGAGCTCACCATGCTGCCCAAGCCCCGCCTGGTTCTGGGTCTGGTCAGGGCCACGGTCAGGGCCACACGTCTGGGTCTGGACCTGGGCACGGAATGGGACTGGGTGATGTGCTAGGGCAGGGAGACGATGGTCATGATTCACCTAAAAACTCTGTGATTAAGAGCAGAAGCCATGGAATCTTTCCTGATCCAGCCAAAGGTAAACAATCAGCTTCACCGAGCTCTTTTCAACACATCCATGTGTTTATTATTTCATCTCTTTATTCTTGGTTATTTGGACCAAGTGAGTGCTAATCTTTTCTTGAGTTTACTGTTGCATGGCCCAGTGAGGACAGCAATAAAAATAATGAAGCTTTTTTTGTATGTATAACTTTTCACGTAACTTTTTCTTTCATCTGCTTCCAGATATGCAAATGCTGCCTTTGGAAAAGTCAAACAGCAGTCCAGGCAGCTCCAAGTCTTCCTCCGATGGCCAGCTGCGCTCCCACGGGCCCTCCCGAAGTCAAAGCAAAAGCAGTGTCACTCAGGCCCACCTAGAGGATGCTGGGATAGCCATTGCTGCTGCAGAGGCTGCCGTGCAACAGTCCCGCCTGCAACCAAGTAAATCCTTCCCCTACCCATGAAATGCGTCCTGAGACAGGCCTCCTTTTCTCCACGCATGTGAAATGAACCTGATTTGGAACTGCATTATCCTCCTTTACTACTTACCTTTGGTTTACATGGAATAACTTTTATTTTAGTTCAAAATCGATTGGTTTTAATCTTAAAACCTGATGTAATGTCAGTTGTTTCAGATCATAATAGCCGTGCTACTGTACTCTATAAAATAAATGCAACACAATGAAAGGCAATTATTTAATACCACATGTCTAAAAACGATTAGTTAGTCAGATTTCACCCACATAGTATACTGGCTTCATATTTAGATATTTTAGATTTAGAAGTTTTTTGTGTATGAGCAAATAGAAGAAATGAATCTAATTTAGCTTTAAAAACACCAACTCAAACCCCTCTGGTTCTGCCAAAAGCGTGCATGTGCTAATCCCTAAAACGTGGTTTCTACTGAGCCCCTGTGTGGAGATGTTTAACCCTGGTGTAGAAACCAAGCTGGATGCAATTCCTTTCACATGTCTCATATCTTACTATGTTAACATGATTAAAACAATATCTAGCTACAATCCTGCACAATCCTCAGTGTGATTTCCTTTGAATGAAACATTTCTGAGATAAGTTAGCACATCAGCTAGTCAAGCATGCAGTAAAAGACTCCCTTGCTGCTGTTTCCTGCACACCAAGTACTTAGTGGTACAACATGGAGTACCAGTTGTAAAGTAATACATTTAAAATAGCGTGCTACATTTGAGCCCAATTAGCTTCAGATGATAATGTTAAATACATCTGAATATGTAAACTTTAACCAAAATGATTAAATGTCATCTAAATCTTAAAAAATGAAACAAAGTGATCGTAAAATAAGTATTTGGCTAACATACCGACACAGTCTATCAAAATAAAAGCATGGTGGGAATCCACATGGCTGTGACTCTCATCAGATTTAAAAATGCTATTGGAATTTCATGTACAGTATTTAGATTCAAACTGCTTGAATTTCATTTGATTTATTTAGATTGTGAATATTTAAATACAACTTGATGTATTTATTTGGCCCTAAACATTTAGACATAACACTGCAAGTATTGTGAAATGGGTAAAATAAATAAACATGTATAATTAGAACTTGTAAATCAGGTATTGTAAATGTGAAACAGTCTTATTTTATTTATGTAGAACTACACACAACAAAATGCTGCTTTCCATTACTTAATGTATTACTTTACAGTTGACACCATATAGTACCACTGTACTATAATGAAAACGCATGTGAAATTTGAATGAACCCCCACCCAAAATGGCATAAAAGACACTTAAAGGCACACTTAGCCTTCCCCACCCTGCCCAGTTCTCTCCCATTCCCACCACTCTAAATAAAGGGGACACAATGTGAGAGAGATCAAGTCAAAGCAGGAAGCGCAGAAACACCAAGAGGTTTCAAACGTCAACAGGAGTCTCACTCTGCACTCACCGGCCAATGAGTAAAGCTCTCGCTAACCGTGAGAGGAGCAGAAGTCTCAAGAGAAGGTGAGACAACGTAGGAATACTATAATTTATTAATTAATTAAAAAATATAACAAAGTATCCTTTTTATAAAATAAAGTCGTAAAACTAGACTAATCTAAGGAAAGGTCTATCAAATAGCAAATTATTTTGATAATTTGGAAGAAATCAATTATCACAAATCAAGTAAAATCAAGTATTTTGAGGATCTCTTATTGAGGCAAAGCTGCCTGTCAGCTGGAGTGTTTGATGCATCTAACTGACAGACAGATAGACAAACAGCGATTCTCAGCATCCCACTCTGTCATGCCTCTGACAGGACTGGGGCACCGACTGGGTGATGTCTCAGGGTCCGTGGTGCTTTCTGCTCCGAGTCTTGTTGGAGACACCTACGGAGGTCTGGAAGGAGACGAAGGGATGGGAACTGGAGTGGACAGCGCAATTTTCCAAGTGCCACGGATGTAAGATACTTTAATTTTTTTTGGTGCACCATTAATTGACACATTATGCTTTGCTGTGTGGTGATTATCTTTGTTTTTCCTACAGTGGTAAGACTATTCCCAACGGTACAGATAAACACCAAATAATCACTCCAGAAAATGAAGGCAAGTTCACGTTCTTTTATTTCTTGGTTGTAGGCTGCCCCCTGCAGGCTGATTTGTGTACTAACCCTTTAAATGAATTCTTTCACTTTTAAATGTGTGGAACACTGAAAAACCATGCTTAATTATTATTTCTGATTATAATCGGTCACACTGAGTTTAACATGCAGGCTGAACATAAAACTAGCCTCCTACACCTATCTCCTGCATTAGCTTAGAAAATAGACAGTGAAACTCTAGGATTTGAAAAGCCTGACAGAGCTTCGTTGCACTGTCACTCAACATTCATGGGCCCATCTTGACTTGCAATGGGGAATGCTGTTGTTTAGCATCCAGGAAATAGTAGAGAACGCCTCAACTAGCAGAAGCTAACCATTAGCATGAGCAACTCCACCACGCAGCAGAACTCCTCCAGGATTGTGTCATTTGTGGAGATAATATTGTAGAACAAATGGAGTCAGTGGCAGAGTTGCTGTTATCCAATCCAAGGCAAGATCTCCAAATCTTAGAATTAGGACTCCAAATCATGTCGTCTGAAGCAACGTTCTCCTCCAGTTGAATTCTCTGTGCTGATAGAGGCGCTTCTGGGCCTCCACTCCCCCCACCCCCCGATTACGTCTTACAAGACGCCCATTCCTACTAGAGATCATTGCAAACGTGTTTATTAAATGAGTATTAAACACATTTAAAGTGCCACCATATAAACTGCAGTGTCAGCTGTTAGGTGGTTATTGTTAACAGACAGTATTACCTCTGATTATTGACTTGTGTGGCTCAACATTATATAAAGTAAGTAGTGGTTGTTGCATTACTCCCCCCCCCCCCCCCCCACACACACACACACACACACCACCACCACCACCACCACCAACACCCATTGTCATGTCTGGATCCAATGTAGCTTGTGTGTCAATGCCTCCTCTCCATCTCCCATTTCGTCTTGTAACAAGAAGCTCAGGGTCATTTAAGATGCAGCAGGGTTATTGTTACACATATGAGGGTCAAGAGATAATTTCCATGGTGTCTGACTGACTCCATTACTTTATTTTACTCAGGCGCTCTAATGGGATGCTCTCAGGCATAATTAGCAGCAGAGACTCCTTCTAGTTAGTAGAACATGTGTGAAACATCAGAGATGTTCTCTCCTTTGACCTGGTTTCATTCTTCTGAGGGCTTGGGTTTGATGATGTGAAATAGTTGAATAATTCAGATGAACCTTGGGCACAATGGGAGTGCAGTTTTAAGCGCAACTGAAAAATTCACCTAGCAAGTACTGAGGAAAAGAATGTTCAAATGGTTGGCCTAAAATACAGAAGTTAAAGTTACGGTGAAAGTCCCATTAATTCATCACACACTGGTGAAATTCATCTCCGCATTTGACCCATCCCCTTGGGGAATGGTGTGCTGCAGCTGTGGCTGCGCTTGAGAACTATTTGGTGGTTAAACCCCTCAATCTAACTCCTTCAGTTAAGTGTCAAGCAGGGAGGCATTGGGTCCCGTTGTTGAAGTCTTTGGTATGACCCGACCTGGATTTGAACCCCAATCTCCCAATCCCAGGGCAAACACTCTACCACCAAGCCACTGAGAAGGTAAACTATTACTTTTTCTTTTTCTTTAATTAGGTGGTAAAACACAAGTAATAGGCGAAATCAAGGTTGCTCTCAAGAAGGAGGTGAAGACAGAGGGTGATCAGCTGGTGTTGGAAATCCTTCAGTGCAGAAATATCACCTACAAGTTCAAAAGTCCGGACCACTTGCCAGGTTAAGAAATGTTGCACTTGTGTGCATGAGCTGTTCGTCCGTATGAATGGATGTGTAATATTCGGTAGCATTTCCACTTACTGATGCTGATAATCTTTCTTACTGGACCCTAGACCTCTATGTGAAGTTGTACGTGGTGAACGTGGCCACTCAGAAGAGGATCATCAAGAAAAAGACCAGAGTTTGCCGCCATGACCGAGAGCCTTCTTTCAACGAAACCTTCAGATTCCCTCTTAACCCCACAGGACATTCATTACAGGTCAGCCTGGTTCTATTTAAACTCTAGAGGACAATGAATGAGAGGAAATATCTCTTTGAGGTCTATTTTACGCCTGATCAAAGTTTTGGCTAAGTTGGCCGAGCTAATTTACTGTTAGCATGAATTTCACATGAAAATAGTAAAAAGAACCTTCATTTACCAGCAATATAAGGCTAACGTGTTCCTAAAAATGACTGATCTTTTTTTGTTTGTTTAAAGCTTTTCCTGTTGTCTAATGGTGGCAAGTTTGTGAAGAAGACCTTGATAGGAGAAGCCTACATTTGGCTGGATAAGGTGGACATGAGGAAGAGAGTGGTCAGCTGGCACAAGCTGTTTGTCAGCTCCAATCTGATGAATCCTTGAGCACCAAGACAAAAGAACGCAGTCATGCTGCAAAGGTGAAAGCAAAGATCCAAAACAAGGATTGAATAAAATAGAAAAAAAGGTTTATTTTATTTACTGAGATTTTAGGTCGTTAGATTAAAAAGAATGTAGGAATAGCATGCATGTTTAACAGTCTAACACTGCCAACACACATGTAATCACCTCCTGTCATGCTGATTCCCTGCAGACTTTGCTTGAATGCAAGCATGCAAACACCATGGCAGGTACTGAGAGCTACAATACAGATACATGGATTAACAGTGGTTATACATTATTTTCTTTCTTGTTTTTGCTCTTATTCTACAATCAAAGCTCTTATTTTGAAGCCGCACAACTGAGCTCACATACCCATCACACGTAAACACGTCAACAGAACTTTATGATACCGTCACTGCAATGAAGTATGAGGTTCTGATATCCGAAAGGAGGAAATTAATGCATAACATGTCATATAATACAATTTCCATATATGTAGAAATGAAAAACTTCACAGAACCGAAGTAAAACTCAGACTGTTGGCCTTTGCAATGGGATGAAGATTAAATGTACAGCACAGATCCCATGTGCAGATTACAGAGCATATCAAAGAACTGTACAGTGTGATATTTGTAAAACACAAATAGCTTATATGCAGAATATATCTAAATAGAGTATCAGAGTTGTTATCTTATAATTAGATCATATACGAGATGATATAGACAAATAGTTTGGTTAGATTAAAGCTGTGGGTGGCGCACTTGACAATCCAGAAATCGAACATGTGAGCAGTCCTCATAACTGCTATGTGACTCGGGACCTATGTAAGCTCCTGGGTGGACTTGATAACGTCCCGAAGCTCCACTGAGGCACGTATGCGTTGCACAGGTGATCATAGGTCACATCAACATCCGGGCGAGTTGGAATTACAATAAGAATGAACACCATCTTGTGCTTTTTCACCCAAAGCACACGTGTGTTGAATGTTACAGATATTTAAGAAGACACTGTCAGATTCATTATATCTGTCATATTTGGAACATTGTCATGTTGAGGTTTATTTAGTGGCTCTTTGTGTAAGTCCCTCCATGTTGCCATTATGTTTGACGAACACTCGAGCAAGCTGCACCTCTGGTTTTCTGTCGTTGACGGGTCTAATGTGAGTTTTAGCGAAGGATTTAGTTTGACCTCGAAATCAAATCAAAATGTAGATTTTTTTTTAATATCCTGTCAGTCAAATGTCAAGGTTGCTCTGTGTCTCTGGCTGTGCAGTGACAACAGTTTAGTGTCAGTGATGTCCATCAAACACAGTGAAACCAGCACCTTTCACTGCCTGTGATCAAAGTATTCTCTCAGGCCAGCGAGTTCACCCATCGTAACACACGTAACGTCTCAATGTTAATGCGTGTGACCCATGTTCATCTACATCTACTTGATGTTTTGCCACCATATGAAAAACTTAAATAAAACATTAAAAAAATCAGAATTTCTGTCATTTAGGTATAAAATGATGAAGCAACTTTTAAGCAACAACACACAAAGAGCAAGATGTCACCTACACATTTGAATACAGTGTAGGGCAGACCGTGTTTTTTTTAATATTCACTTATTTGTGCCAACCTTTATTTTAAAAATCCTGAATAACTTAACTTCCTTTTTTTAATATCCCAAACCCATTAGTTCTTTTAAGGTAACTCTATGCAACATTTGAATGCATTTGTGTTAATTGTTTAGTCTATGAACATGTTGTCTAGAGAAACTACGATTTGTACATTAGTGAGCAAAAATCTCTTAATTTTTTTACTTATTTTATTATATATATATATATCTACATATATTGACGTTAACAGGTGTTAACTTCAACACAGATCTTGTGCACTTTATTACAATGTTTATTTTGTCTCATTTTAACCGTCACAGCATGTAAGGTTACATGTTTTGTGTTCCTGCACTAAAACGGATAATGTGGTGGTGGCGAGATAAAATAAGAATAGAGTAACGATTATGATAATAAATCGTGGTGTGCATTTTGTATCGATGTGGCAAAAGATTATTAGACAAACATGTTGCTGTTCCTGAAGTCAATGAAGAACTTTTACGTGAAATCACCCGCAACTGCTTCATGGTCATAGTGTCTTGTGTACACGGTGCAGTTTTTCATGGCTCAGTCATGGCAGGTTAGCCTCTCGTGTTTCATCACACAAAACAAATACTGTTTCTTCAGATCAGCTGTTGCCTGTTATTGTGAAACCATTAGTTTGTCGTCGTACCGAGGAGTGTGAATGTGACTCAAGTTGTCTGACGTGTACATAAAGTGTTTATTTTCTACAATGATTGAATGTTTATATTGTCCGAGGTTTGAGCATGTGAGTGTTAAAAAAATAAATGAAAAATAAAAACCCACAAAAGACAAATGACTGTACAGCAATGTCTATAGTTGTACAAGGGGAGATTTATCAAAACGTGCTGTCAACCAATGACTATTAGTGCAATTATGTCCTCTGACCTGCAGATTCATGAGGGAAAAAATATAAATACATATAGTCAACTTCAGTAGATGTCTGAAACCTTTTGTTTTGAATGTTGCATGTTCTGTTGATGGTTTGTCTGTATATTTGGCCCACAGATTATGTTTTAAAAGAGGGAGAACATGTATAGAAGCATCTGTATGCTAAGAGTAAAGAGAACTGCTTGTAAAGTTGTCTTGTTTTTCACTCCGTGTAAAAACAGAGCATTTAATGTTATGGTTTTGTGATCGTTCACGGGGTGTGTTAAGATATGCAAATTGTGCTGTAAAAATATCAAAGTTTCCCTTGAATCAAAAAATAAATATTAAGAGCTATATTGCATATCCCAATAAAACTAAAGGCTCTTGTGTTTTTATTTATGTAATGAAAGGTGTGCAGAATGCCTAAGTAACACATTTAGATATTCATCTATACAATCTTTTTTGTTACTTTAGATATTTATTTATCCAAAACCATTAAATATGAGCCATGCATGTTGAAAACTTATTGTTCCTGAATTAACTAAGCTTCAGTTGTCCAAAAACTCTTTTACCAAGAACAGTTTTTTCCATTTAAACATTCATCCATCATCTGAACCCACTTTGTTCACGTAGGGTCGCGTGGGAGGGTATCTCCTGCGGTCAATGGGGAATCAGGCGGGGTACACCCTGGACAGAGAGCCAGTCCACCGCTGGGCAATACAGAGACTCACAGGACAAGCAATCATGCACACACACACACTCACAACTAAGGACAATTTAGACAGAATAACCTAACAGTCATGTTTTTGGACTGTGGGAGGAAGCCGGAGTACCCGGAGAGAACCCACGCATGCACAGGGAGAACAGGCAAACTCCATGCAGAAAGATCCCAGGCTGGGAAGCGAACCCAGGACCTTCTTGATGCAAGGCAACAGCTCTAACCGCTGTGCAGTGGTTAAACATGTTCAATTGAAATACATAGAATAAACAGTGGGTCAGTTGCATAATGTGTCTTTTATTAGCTTGAGCTTTAATTTTGAATATAATTAAGTTTAGACGGATGCTAAATTAATCCAAAAGAGACACTAATAGCTTCATAAGCTGCAATTTCTACACATTGCCACTGAGAGGCAGTGCTGACTCAAGCTTCCAATTGAAGCGGACTTTTTAGATGTATATTTAAAGCTGTTGAGTTGGACTGGCAGATTAGTTAATATAAATAAAAGTATTTACCATAGGTTTTTTGTTTAGGTTAAAAGGTGTTATCATCTTCCTTGATTCCAGTGGAATCAGTTTGGGTCAGCCGTTTATGGGATTAGTAATATTGGATTATTGCAGCTTTGTTTTACCTTGACACGTTCAAAGACAGAGGCAGCGTTTCAATATTTTTAACTTATTTGTTTATTTAGCACATTATAAACATGCAAGTACAAAAACGTTATAAAATACATCTTATTCAAGTGCATGGAAGTGGTAAAAGCTTGAGAGTGCTTACAATGAAACCATACCCTATTAAAAGTGTCCTTGTAGAATTATTAGTCATTAGCAGTCAAGTCAAACAATTTAGGACATCATCACTGTTTTAAATTCAGAGGCTGGAGGTTCACTCGGACTGATTCAAACCCGAAAGCTTCTTCTTCCTAATGGAAATGCGTCACAGCAATCTGTCAATCACAGAAAACTGGATTTTGGCTCAGTTTTGACTTTTTTTGCTTATGTTTTAAACAAATGCCACGTGTAATGATAGAAAATGTGTGTTTAACAAATATGTAAATACATGGTAGGGTAAGATTTAGGTCTGAATCTGCATAGCCATAACCATAATGCATCACCACTAGATGGTGTTGTTATTATTATTATTATTATTATTATTATTATTATTATTATTATTATTATTTTCATCATCATCATCATCATCATCATCATCATCATTATTATTATTATTATTATTATTATTATTAATAATAATATTTTCAAAAGGAATTTTTTGTAACTGTTTAATTCTGACTAAGGTGTGATTTATAAAATCCAAAACCAAGTTCAATATCCATATTGTTTGTGAATTATTTTGTGAAATATGAAAAAAAAAGTTGTTTCTATACATTTCTGTTTTCAATCAGTGTTTCCTGCTAATGTATCATTACATTAGTCATGTAACAGAGAAATAACTGCCGATATTTATGTCTGTCAGGAGTTTTGTCCTCATGAGAGTGTGACACAAGATAATAAGATGACACATCCCCCCTTAAAGGGCCTGAGATGTTCGTTGTTAATGAGATAAAACATGTTGGATAAGAAAGTCTGCACAGGAGTCTACCCTATTCATTCTTATTATTACAGTGTGTTCCTCCACTCAGCACCTCCTCCCCAGTTCTCCTGTTCACATCCCCCACCCATCCCATCAGCAGGTGCATCTGTTTCTCAGCTGTAAGAAAATGAGTGTGAGAAAGGTGTGAGCAGAAAATGTGCAGGAGGCTGTGTGACAGGGAGTGAGAGAGCTACATGAGGAAAAACTGAGCAGCGATGAGCAACAGTGCAGTACAGTTAGAGCCGTGGATAGGTGGCAAGGGAGAAACAAAGAAAGAATGAGGGGGGAAAGGGGAGGAGAGACGGGTGAGAGAGCAAGCACGATGGTGTGTGGTTGCCAGGCAACGGCTGATAACCAAATCCCCATGCATCTTGCTTGTGCTGCCTTGCCCCTCTCTCTCCGGGGCTGAAACAGACAGAAAGATGCTCTTGCAGGAACAAACTTATGTCATGATTGCATTTTAATTACTTGAATTCAATAATCTGTCATTTTAGATTTTGGTACATTAACCTTCTAACTAATCTGTAAAACAAACAAACTATTTGATGATGAATTAGACAATCAAGAGACTGTGATTCTTTTTGTTTTTTCCTTATCTCTCAAGGGGTCATTTTCACTTGGGGCACCATTTTAAATTAATTTATTTATTTATTGCTGCCTTTGATTCCGGTCTCACAACATAAGCAAAGTTTTAGCAATCACGGCCACATCTCCAAGTTGACAGTGAAATGTTGCGGGGCATTTTAAAAAGCAATCGGAGAATCTGTATTCAGGGTGCGTTTGATAGTGTGGGTGGCAGTCACACCCTCCTTATAGCAGGTGTTTTTCATAGCAAAAAAAAAAAAACTATTTGTGACTCGCAATGTGATGATGGAGGTCAGACAGTGACATCAAACTAATCTCATAAAAATATGTCATACCTCAAATAGCACAGGAAAATGAAGGTTATATGTAGGATTTTGTAAAATTGCAACTCTGTTTATTTATTAATTTATTTTGACGAAAGAGACAAAAAGGAGAAAGAGAGCGAGAGAGAAAGAAAGAACGAGAGATAGAGGGGGAGTGAGAGACGGACTCTGAAATCTCCAGCACAGGTACCTGTTAGAGCGCAGGATGCCCGGCTGATCGGATTATAGGTGTCAGGGCTTGTTTATTTGAGAGGGAGGAACAGATCGCCACACGCGCGCACCGCTTGCGCACGTCGCTCCATTCATCCATCGGTGGCGACGCGGAGCCAGGCAGATTGGATACTGACGCACATCGGGGAATTTCCCCCCTTTTCCCACAATGGATACCTGCAGGGTGCGAGCCTGGGTGTTCTTGCTTCTATTGTGTCAGGAGGGGTGCGTGTCGGAGTTTCCGACTCAGCTCATGTAAGTACAGCCTCTCTAATCCTTATTCGACCTGTTAGGGCTTTGAACTGAGGCTGCTTTATTTCTATTGTGGAAAAAAAGCTTCGTTTCCAGTGAGCCACTCACTGTGTGGTGGTGGTAGGGTTTGCAGAGTACAATACGTGGGTGTGAGACTACCGGCTGGTCATCTTTACAGAAACACATTGATGGCAGAGTATTTTATCTCAGTTCTGTCTGACAGCACTGATTGATGCTGGCCACCAAATTGGGCAGATTGTCGCTGGTGGCCAGGCTGAGCTGTGACAGCTCCTCAGACAAGTTGTATAGGAGTTCCAACAGCTCCCCTTGAGCTTAATGCTACATTTAAATCACAAGGGTTGGTCCTTGTCTGCCATGACCTTAATTTTTAATGAGCTCTGCCTCCCTTAGGCTACAAGTTGTTATAGAAACTAGCCAAATTTGATGTCTTTATATCGAATAGATTGTGAATCGTTCCTTTCATGCTGATATTAAATGTAAAATCAAGAAAAGCTGGGTTAACAATGTTCACCAGTTTTAACCCATCAGGGGCAGGTCACCAGCTCAGCAGAGAATAAGGTTAAACTGATTTCCCCAAATTACATTAAACTGAACAATAATATTAGAATTACAGCAGTAGTACATAGGGTTGTCACGGTGGGAAAATTTAACCTCACGGTCAGGGCCGATTAACACTTTGTTGTACCCTGGGCAACAATATTCAAGGGCCCCATCATCACGACCCAAGGATCACCATAATATGGTCATTTACAGAATATTTTACTGTAAGATGCAGTAAATATACCCAATACTTGAATGCCTGATGTCACGTAACCTGCTCAGGGTAACCTTTGACCCACCTCGTGTGGACTGACCAATGAGGAGAGGGTCTTGAGGCCCTCTCTTCATTGGTCAGTCTGCATGAGACTGACTCTCAACCGTTCTCAACTGACGTTCAAAGCCATAGGCAGTGAAGCGTCTCTGTGCAGTGCAAAAGCCCGGGTGGACAGTTTGTTTAATATAGGGTGATCATATTTCTATTTCCAAACAAGAGGACAGGGAATCTTTGCCTATGACATCACACTATGGCAACGCCACACAAACCACGTTGGGACCCATTTTTTTGTAAGAACTAAACTTAATATCAGATTCTGCCAATAAAAGGTCTATAGAACAATTCATATGTAAATATGTTGCTTATTTGTTGTAAAATCTCATTGTTCTGCATTAGTGCTGCAACAAGGTTTTATTAAAAAGAAATTATTATACCTTTTGTTTTACTACAGCATCGGTAAGTTTCCTGCGCATGATTATTAAGGGTGCTTGTTTCAGCTGTGGGATTAGACGATAGGATCAATGAAAAAATAAGTTGTCACACACTCCATGGAAACTTTCAGAGAATCCACAAATAGTGGCTTTCAAATAGTTTTGTTACTTTTTGCAAGTTTAGAAAGCAGCAGATGAGAAGCATGTCTGATCATTTAGTTTTTCATCTGATAATATTAGAACATGTCAGTAATGTCTGAGGAGCTTTTATAAACACTGTATAACTAACACTACTGGAGAGGGTATGAATTACACAGAGGCTTCTGGGGAGCCAAAAGGGGTGGGGGGTGTTCTGCTTTGCCTTGGCCCCCAAAATGCCTTGAAACGGCTCTGGGTGTGTGACTGAGTTTTGAAGGTGATCTGAATTGTATCAGATGTATAAATATTACTTGTGTACAACTTATTGTTTTATACAGGTAAAAACGGGTGGAGATAAATCTACATTTTACTTTTCAACACGTTGTTTTGTTTTCTTGTTTTTATTTAACTATTTTCCTGTCCTGTCTGTCTCTCGTCTTCCATCTCCTCTAAACTCTCCAGAAAAACTGTTGCCTGTATTCTTACTTTTTCACCTCATCAGTTACTTTTGAGCAGATCAAAGCTTCTCCTGACCACAAAGGGGAGTGTGCGTTTCGATGCTGCGTCAGTGAGGTGAAATCACCGCAGCACAGGTGATGAGCTCCGCAGTAGCAGAGCGCTTCAGGCACAAATAAGACAGAAAGTAGAGAACATGTGCGGACATGTACTATTGTGCATTCATTATAGTTTTTTGGTTGTGCCACTTTGAGAATGGACCGTGCGCTGGACGCAGCTGCCTGGAGCGCAACAACGATCAGCGCTGTGCCGCTTTCTGTGCTCTCCGCTCAAAAGAACCACTGGTAGCTGAGAGTCCATAAATGATGTGATATAGCTAGAAAACTTTTCTCCGGCTCCCCTGGATGTGTAGGATATCTAGCTCCCCCATAATTCGATCCCTGCTCCTGGATGAAAAACCGAACATTTTCATCAATACAAGAAACCCGCCCGGATGCCCCGGACAGAGAGTGAAAAGTGGACATGTCCGGGGAAAACTATGGTCACCCTAGTTTAATATAAAGCAGGAGATTACAGATACAGTATTTTGCTCGTGCCCTTGCTGCCCTGGGCCCTTTAGAGTTCGTGGACCCCTGGGCAATTGCCCATTTGCCCATATTGTTAATCCGGCCTTGCTCATGGTTATTGTGACCAAAATTATCACAGTTTCCGGTATTATCGCGGTATTGTTTTTAAACATGTTACATTTTCAGACAACTAAATAAACCCTGTATATCAGGAAAATATTGTCCTCAGTTTGTGTCTAAATTTTGCCTAAAATTCTCCCTCAACCCAAATCCTCGGATCACACATTTTAGCTAAAATGCTAACGTTAACTTGCCTTGCGTTGACTGTAGAGTTATGGGTGATGGTCACGCAGATGTGTCATGAGATTTGAAGCATTGCTGCCTTTGACAGACACTTTCTGCACGTGCTGCAAACAGGATAGCCGTCTTCTATCAACTGTCCCTCGGCATTCTTCAAATATCCCAAAAATGCCCATACTTCCGACTTTGTCTTCTTTGAGGGATAAAAAATGTCCTGAGAGCTGCCGTCTCCTCCTTTGACCATTATTTCAGCTTTAGCTTCAAAAAAGTTTTGGTTGTAAACAACAAAGTGGGCATGTGCCACCGGTAATTTCAGCAGATGATACGGTGGCTGGTAAGGATCACCGCGCCTTCACCGCAGCCACGATAATCCACCGAGATAACATATATTTTTTTAAAAACAAGATGGTTATTATTGTTGTCAACTTTTTTACCGGGTATTACCGCTACACCGGTTACCGTGACAACCCTAGTAGTGCATGTGTTCAATTCAACCAAATATTGTATTATTCAAAACTCACATTCAAGAAAAGCTCATCAATGTTTCAAAATACTTTTATTGGCTACACAACATGCAATGAAATTTGTTCACACACAAAACAATGGAAGAATGGAAACATGCACATTTATTCTTCCACTTGTCCATATATAAATTCCCATCTCATCCTCCGTGGGTGGTCTCATCCTTCCAAGCTCCCGTCCTCTACCAGTGGCCTGGGAGCTTGAGGGTTCTGTGTAGTATCTTAGCTGTTCCAACAACTTCACTTTTCTGAACTGAGATGTCTGATGTTTTTCCTGGGATCTGCTTTAGCCAGTCCTCTAGTTTGAGGATTACTGCCCCAAGTGCCCCAATGACCACGGGCACCACCAATGTCTTCAGTCTCCAGGCTTTCTCAAGTCCTTCTTTGAGGCCGGTACTGCTCTAGTTACTCATGTACCTTTTTCCTGATGTTGCCATCACTTGGTATTGCCAATCAACCACAACATATATATACAAATTTTCTTGTTTCAAGTTAAAAAAAAATCTGCATGGGGTTAAGCAAAAGTTGCTTATAATTCCAAATGATAGCAAAAGAATCTAAAGTTGGATTTATTTGCTAGTCTTTGCAGTGTAATTAAAACAAAACGCCACACTGCACATTACATAAATTATATTTTATGCATTAAAAACTTTACATTATTTTTGCTTTGTTTTATTCTTACATGAGTGCTGATAGAAGAGGTATGGAATGTTTTTGTTGCTGATATTTGATGTTGCAAAAACAAAACCACAATCCAGCTCATCTGAAGTAAAAAAAAATAGCAACACTTTGGTAAAACCTGTTTGTAGATAAGTTTATGTCCTGCAGTTGTTGCTGTCTTGCAACAAACTAATGATGGGTTATGAGAGACTGTGAAAGGAGGGAAAGAGTGCAGAAAATTGCACTCACTACAAGGATGCAAGAAAACGTGTCCTTGTTTGAAGTGTGCATGATGACAAGAATGCTCAAACACAGACAAAATAAGCAAAATGGAATCAAGTAAACCTCACCAAAGCTCTCCACTGGATTACTCTGTTTGAACAGTTGGGAGAAGATTTCACGGACAAGCAGTGTGGACAAGGGGCTGATTTCTTTGTAAATCCAAACTTATTATAACTTATTATTAGCTTCGCATTTTGAAAATAATACAATTCCTTCACATTTTTAAGAAACTATAAACAACAATGGAACAAGAGCCCTTTTAACAATATATGAACATATTTAAAGACATTCCCATTATTTTGAAGTGTCTTTATAAATGAAAGTCATAAATATATACCATTTTTACTCACTGTAGAAACTTCCAAGCCGCTGCTTGGACAAGTCATATATACATATTTTTAATTCAAGCAGATACACAGTTGGAGCACAGCTAAGACCAATGTGGGCATCACAACTTTTGGAAAAAAAAAACTAATACCTTTCTTACCATAATAACACCCAAGCATATTTAACACCACCATGAATTTGCATTATACTGGCATTGTTGCAGAAGTAATACAAACATCTAGTTGGATTTGACCCCTGGACGCACCAGGAGTGCTAAATTGTGCTGCTGCAGGCAAAAAAAGTATGCTTGCAAATGACCACCAGTAATCTTTTGGAAGTCTATGCTGATAATTAATGGAGAAGAAATACAACTCTTGCAGGGTAAAAAGGTGGTCATCAGAGTTTAATTCAATGATGCCATTTCCAAGTTTAGTATCTGTGCCACAAAACAACAAACACTTATTTTGCCTCCTGGGTGGGGTGACTA